TACCGAGTGAAGAAAAGCGCTTGAAGGAAAATAACTGAGTTAGTAGGAGTAAAACGTAGACAATCGTGTTTGATTTTGGAGAAAGGTATATGGCGTGCTAGGTAATGCAGACGGGTGATGATAAAGTGTTTAAAAGGTAAATTGTATAGGTCGGTAGTGAGGCCAACAGTTTTACATGGATGGAAATGTTGGGCAGTAGATAAGAAATCTGAACAGAGAATGAGTGTAGTGGAGATGAGAATTTTTAAATGTATAAGCTGAGTTACTAGAAAGGATAGAATAAGAAATTAATACATCAGGGGAAGTCTAAGAGTTGCATCAATTTAAAAGTAAATTAGAGAGAACAGGTTGAGATGGCTTGGTCGTGTTATAAAAAGAGATGAGGCATTGGCAGTGTGAGGTTTTATGAAGATGAATGTTGAGAGAAAAATAGGAAAAGGCAGACAAAAGATAATATGGATGGATGGAATATTGAATAATAAGTGAATAGTTTGGGTGATTAAACGAGATGTAGAAGACCGAGCTCGATGGATGTGCAGGACTAGGATGGCCGATCACATGTAGTTGGGAGTGTAAGGCGAAGATAAAGAAGAAGATGAAGGTGCTATATCACCTAAATTAACTGAATAGTATGTACCATGGAAAAGTAACGTGGCATTTTTAGAAAGCAGATAACGAAGAAGAATTGATTTTAAAATCTTATCTTGGCTGGGAATGCATTATTTTCTTAACAAATAATAAAAAATGTATAATTTATTTGGGTATTTTTATTAAAACATTATTTATTTTATTCCTGTCAAAATATTATTTCTTAATCTAATTAAAAAAGTTTTTACCAATAGTTATAAAATATTTTATTTTTGCTGTGTGGAATTTAGTTATTGTCAACGTAAATGGTTTTGTACAAAATTATCATACGACATTTTTTTTTAATTATACTTTCAGATTTAAATCTGAAAGGTTCTATCAGCAAGTTTAAAAATAGAAATTTTTTTTCTGTTATGGGAAAGCTTACTTACGGTCTATTTTTATGTCATAACTTTTTTATAACACAATCACTGTTTTCCAATAAAACACTTGTGGAATTCGACTTGTGGATTTTGGTATGGTTTTAATTCTATTCAGTAAAACATTTTATACCTATACAATTATAGATAATTTATTTTTATTATCTCAAAGAATGCTATTAAATAATATGTTATAAACGTGTATGTGAATTTTTAGATCCGATCTTCAATAAGTGATGTTGTACTAGGATTGTTTTGCAGTTTACTAATAGTTTTGTTCGTCGAAACCCCTTGTATTACGATTAGACATAATTTAGACAATTATTTTCAGGTAAGTTTTAATTGAAATATTTAAAAAAAAGTCTAAAATCGTATATTAATTTAAAAATGTTTTACACACATTTTTTTCAGGGTGTAAAAAAACAAAATATTTCCACCTCGCAGGAAAACGATAACAAAATGAAAAATCAATAAGTATTAAGTTAACGTGGTCAAGTACACTTTTTAGAGATGAGAAGGCACTAACAGTACACCTTATAAACTCAAATGTATAATTATTAGACACCATCTGCGTTTTATGTCGAAATACTAATAAAATAAACTATGTATTACAATAATGTTAAGTTGCTTATAGGTACATTTTGCGTAAAGGGTTTCTTAAAAAAATATTTTAGTTGTACTTAATTTTTATTGTTGTGTTTAGGTAAGGTGTTTTGTAATAACTAATATTTAATAAAATTGCTATTTAAGTATTGAATTTTATTATATTATTATACATTAATCATTATTATGATAGACATATACATCTTTTTTGTCCATAGTTAAGTTTTTCTCAAGTTAAATTATGTTCTTCTTACCTGCCTCCCTCTCTCCTCTATAGTATCAAACCTTGAGTATTCATCAAGTTTTTACTTACTTTATGACACAGTGTAAATTGTATACTGTTTTCAAAATTATTAAAATTAGTTCCATATTTTGATTCCGATTTTTTGAAAATTGTTTTGGGATTTGAAAATTAGTAAATTTCACACTCAGTTTTCTCGAACATTAACATGTTCGAGCACCATCATGACGGATAAGCGCGAAAATGATGGAAACACGACAGGGGCACAGTTTAGGCAATCCTAGAAACACCCATGAAGGTGTATAAGTGACTGGACCGCCGTCAGTACAATGCCTTCTGTATTTTGTTATCTAAAATTAGTTTAAAAAAAAAAAGGCTTCTATGCATATCTGTAGATGACAGAAATGTTAAATACCGATGAAGATCATAGTAAATTTAATAAAACTGTTAAAATTGTGATTTCAGTATTAGATCTGATATATTACTATACTTTTGGATTGATCGTCTGTCTGTAATAACAGACAAATAAACAACATAATAAAAATGTATGTCTGTTACCTGTTGACTATGTTAATTTGTTAACTCATAGCAAGTTATACATTAAATAAGGTCAATGTGAAAATATTCACACTTATTTGGTTTTTAGTTAATAAAAACAAAATTTTGACTACACATTTTCGAGAAAACAGTGAAAATTTACTAATTTTCAAGGTGTCTTTCCTATGGAAACCTAACCTAACCTAACCTAAGCTTAAAGGTTACCTTTTTCTTTCAGTTGTACATGTTAAATCTGATTTTGCATCATGTCTTTCCAACGAAATTCCTTTAATAATTTTACTTGTATAATTCCACTTTTACTTGTGCTATCAGATGGTCAGACCTAACGTGTGTATGATGTTTATTTAATTCAAGTTGTATCTTACCTAACGAACCCTTAAGACATTTATGGTACAATTTTTTATGACACTGTGACAGTGATGTGGTATCACTAAAATGTGTACTTGACTCATTTGGTTTTTAATTTATAAGCAAATCAATACCTTCGTCAATGGTTATAATGTAGAATGCGATAGGTATCTTTCCTTAAGGTTACTTCCTTTAGGCTTTCGGTTCTATTGGGAATTTAAATAAGGAGTGTACAAACTACACCCACGTTATGTAGCTATACGAATGTATAAGCACATAACACTTTAGCATCTATACTTCTAGAACATAATACTAGTCGTTCTTCTCTGTAACACACTTAATAATAAATAGACTCTATTTTTTTTATACACCGTATAACGTAATCGTTTCGAGTTCACAGATTTATTGGCGCTGAATCGTCACGTTTTTCAGGTCACACCACTCTCTATTGAGAAGAGTACACACGTCTGTAGAGATAGGTAGAATGATAAAACAAAATTAATAAAAAAATCGTGGCTTCTGAGTGAGTAGGTACAATAGCTGTTTTTCATGGACTTAATATAAACGTATCACTAACAACAAGACACGGGAGAAATGGTAACATTGTGTTATTTGATTTCGAGTTTAATTCGGTTAGGATGACTTTTACTTTCATGATAACGTGTAATAATCATAAGATCACATACTGGTACTCTTCTCGCGCAACATTCTACATGATAAATAGAAATAGTACTTGTATATAATATGAAATAGTAATTGTATATACCGTTAATTACTTAGATAACACCGTTGTGTTGAGGTCTGTGCTCTAATAATTACATTTTTACTACTTGTGCATGTTATACATTTATGGTAATAGTTGTGATAACAAAAGTTATTCTAATGAATAATAATATGCTTGTGTTAAGTAAAATAAGTAATTTGAAATCGCCCACACGCAATACAACGATACGTATAACCGGGCAATAATATTGTAAATACAATTGTTAACAATAACCTTTTGCTAAAATCGTTAAAATAATTTTTTGTTCAATTTAAAATTGTTGCACATGCGTAATGTAAATTTTGTGTCTCGAATAAGATCAATGGCCATCTATGTTTGAACATTTCAAAAGAGGGGACGAAAGGAAAGCACAATATTGTTATGTTGAAATAGCGTTAATCAAATAGAATGTAAAATAGAAACTCCACATTATACATTATACCGTTTACTGGTATGAATTAATATTAGATCTCTTCAAAAACGGAAGGGGTTATGACTGTAGACACAATTTCAGTTATTCAAAGGATTTGGGTCTTTTTGTACGCTGCTAAAGGGAACAGATAAGAATATAGGAAAATTTAAGTGGACAAAATATAGGACACCCACAAATAATAGGAAAAAGTTAAGCTGAACTAATTTATAAAATTTGTTCAATCAACATGTGCTCACTTATTTTTTTTACTTCTTCTTGTACTTGTTCCTCGGGTCGATTTCTTTCACGCTTAGACTTGCTTCACGAAGAAATCGGTTCGGCGGTCTAGTAGATATCTTGGATCCAAACACAAAAAAAAACCGCTATTAAAACACATAATTAAAAAACCAAACAGTAATATTCGAAGCTGAAAACTGTTTAAATAATAAACCGTTATAAACAGTATTTTATAAAAATTCATTTTTTATAAACAATTAACTTAATCAGCCAAACACAAATTTAATCCTACAAAATATTCATCGATTGCTAATATTATCATTAAAAAAAAAAAAAAAAATCCTCGATCTGTGTGATAAAACAATAGAATTTATACAATTTTCAAGGGAGCAACTTTGTATGGAGTAGGTAAGTAACTTTCTACTTACTTGCTTAGTATCATAACCTACCCGGTTAGTTTAGGTTAGGAAATTTTATCCTAAGCACAACCGTCATTCTGGCGGCAATTAGCCAGGTTTTTTTTGCTCATAATGTACACTATAAATACTAGAAACCGATATCTCAAAAGTGAACCACGGCGGCGGCGGCGGCTCTAATATAATAATATTATCATCGCCTACCTGTACATGTACCTAGACCGTGACATCGTTTGACTTAAAGCAGGCCCCTCCCCGGTCCCCCTGCCCCCCAAATAAAGCCCCAACAAACCACTTAGTATCAGAAGAAAGTGTTAAAAATCGGTCATTGTGCGCCGCAGTAGACCGTCGCCTCGACGTTGGCCGGACCACCTCAGTCAGCTGCACGCACAGCTGTTACAAACAACAGGTAGAACACAATATTAATATATTATAACAGTAGTGTTTTTAGTAGCAACAGTAGTAGCACTAGCAGTAGTAGTAGTAGCTACAGTGTCTATTGGTCTAACCCGCGGTTTACTAATTCCTCCCACTCGACGGTGTTAAAATAAAAAGTAGTAAACAAAATCGGTTTTTTTTTTTTTTATCGCCGTTATATTTTGCCGGTGTGAAATTATTGTGCGACCGCGGTTCGATACACTATATTATTTTACGTCTTATAGTCTATTCGGTACATGTATAATATTGTTGTATTTTGTTCTCTCTCTCTGTCTCTCGAATTTCCTATCCGCTTCCTCGGTCGTTCCAATCGTTCAAACACACAGCCGTTGGACCAGCGGTCGAATTCGCACCGCTGTCATTTGTGTGCCGCTCGCGGTGGAAAGCGCAAGTAACACCGTATCGGCCTCGCGGATGGATAGACCGACACGCACCGCACAGGGCAACTGCACGTGACGCCAGGTGGGTGCTGCTTGAACCTTTGACTAACATAATACAATTTAAATAAAATGTGTATTTTTAAAAAAAAAAATATTCAAAAAAATTTCGTTCGAAATCGGGTCGTTTGGGTCTGTTGGGTTAACCTCACCTAACCTAACCTAACCAAACCTTTTTTTTTTTTTTTACTGCATCCATAGAAAACTGGGGAGGTACTCGCCTGTTGAGGCATTACTTCCCCCCAGTTTTCCGATGCCATTTATTTCTCAATCAATTTTACAACTTTGTTGTGGGTGCTCCACACACCCACTAACATTTGCCTTAAACCTAAACATTTTGGTCTTAAACTAACACACCCTCTCCGGGTGGGGGCCCAATAACAATATTCACATTGGGCCCCGACGGAATTGTATATACATTTTTTCCTTAATAACTACTTTGTACATTATACTATATATTTTAATCCTATGTACAGATTAGTGTCTTCTCGGGCCGGTGACGCACGCACCCGCCGCCCTGGACTATCTCGTTCACCCGTTGGGACGCTGTCTGCCCCGTTCTGCCTCTTCCTTTTCGCGAAGGACGAGTTCCGCAAAACGGGCGACAGCGTTCCAGGCTTCGGCGTTCTCCACCATTTTTTGGACCATGGTTAACCTAACCAAACCTAACCAAACCTAACCTAACCTAACTTAACCTAACCTTACCTTACCTAACCTAACCAGTCGAGTCTGTTGGGTTAAGGGTCAGTTGGGTTAACCTAACCTAACCTAACAAGTCGGGTCTGTTGGGTTAAGGGTCAGTTGGGTGTGCTGGGTTATCCGGGTACGGGATGTCGGGCGAATTCGGGTCAATGGGATATTCGGGCATTGGGTTTTTCCAAGTTGTACTGTTAAAATAAATAGTATGGGTTGCATTGATTGGGATCAGGGGGGGGGAGGGACTTGGGAAAACTTCAAAAAACTCAAAACATAAAATCAGCGACACATTTGAGTATTTTATTTCAACAAATCTATCGTTAAAAAATAAAATTTGGTGATTCGAAAAGCACTGATTTTGAGTTTTAAGATTTTTTAGTATCCCAACCCTCCCCACCCCCCGACCTCCACCATTGATGGGTTGTTTGGGTTTTGGGAACTAATTTCGTGGATTAACAACTGTAATAGCTTGTCGCATTAAAAAAACTGAGTTATTTAAGGGTTTTGGGTGTAAAGACTTTTATAGGGTTACAATAATAATTAACGTGGTCGACCCAACGTGACAAAATATATTGTACTATTTAAGTGATGAACCGTTAGAAACAGTCCTTTATCTTCTGGTAAACGGTAAACAGCTATGAAATAGTAAAGAAAAAAATCATAATATGATCTTAAAAACCGATAATCTTTACATACATTTTTATGCATAGATACATTTTTTTTAGTGTGGTTTAGTAAAAAAATTATCATTATTTCACCTTGCAATCGCTTATATCGTTTCGAAAAATTGTGTAAATTAAAAACACAATAATTATTCTGTACGCTAATATAACATAACAATAAAACATTATCTAGTACATGGCGATGTGGCATAAATGCACTGTGTTTAAACGAAGCGAATCTGTTTCGTTCGTCTCTTGTACACTCACAACATTTGTTTATTGACATTAATTGTCAGTCGAAGTTTACTTTTGAAAAAAAAAAAACACACACAGCCTACACTAGACGGTGCTAATACACACCGAAGCGGTTCTCAAACATTGGCATAATATTATTGCTAATGAAATATATATATATAAACGGTTAGCACTCAGCGTTAATGATTGGATATTTTTTTTTGGAAAATTCGCATTATTGGTAAAATTACATAAAAAGTAAAGTAATGTCTGAAATGCACTCGAATAACGTGTACAACATTTATCACACATTATCGATTCGGCTATACAAGTGTAAAACACATTTCATTCGGGCATAGCAGTTGTCGAACATTTTATTTAAATATATATTTTTCCCAAACTCTTCGCACTGTACATCTGAATACACAGGGTGTTCATAAAGTTTCGAAAAAAGAAGAATTTTTTGAGCCGTTATTGATTTTATTTTTTGGATCTTTGAAAATTTAAAAGGAAGCCCTTTTGTTTATTTTTTTTTTTTTTTTTGGGATATTCTGTTAGTTAACAGTAATAAACATCTAAATGCCACCAAAGCTGGACAATTGACTTATTTTGTTTTATTTTCATAGAAAAAGTAATAAAATCAAAAATAAATTTACAGCTTAAAATATGTAAACGACCAAACGGTTTATGGTGTATTTAAACTTTATAAAAAAAAAACCGTCAACGATGCGTTGAATGAAATATTTCCATAAATTCTATTATACACAAACGGTGTAATCGTGTCTGTGCGTTTGTATTATGATTCAAACGGTGGTCAAATTGTTTGATGTTATTTTTGTCGTGATCGAATTCATATAGTAATTGTTTTTGAACTTTCCGCAAAACTATACATTGTAGTCTTCCGCAGTTTTGCAACCTTCCCAACACATAAACGTATCAAAACAACATAACGGTTTTTTGTAAACAACGCACGCATAGGTCGTTTTTTAGTTTATTTAAAATATTTTGTATGAACGCGTCCAAGGTTAACGCTTTTATCAAAACAGTGATGCGTTGTGCCGTCTAGACGTGTAAAAAAAAACACCATTATAATTGTAACATTAAACTTAAACAAATCTAAAAAAAAAAAAATGTAAAAAATCACTACATCGCTGTGTTCGACTTACTGTGAATTAAATTTACAGTCAGCCGGTTGCACCAACATTTGTTAAGAATTTAACTTTTTGTTAATTATATTTAACAACTAGTTAATTGGGTTTCGTCGAGATTTGTTAGCCTTAACTCATTGTTAAAACGATTGTTAAATTAATCACCCGAAATCGGCTTGTTAAAATGTATTGTAGTACTTACATATAATATGTATATTATTATAGTTCAGAAATTGTATTATAATTTTTTTGTCGACTGAGTATACTAGTAATATATAATAATGAATTACCCATTTGATGAGGAACTTCTTTGTGTTGGATATTTAGACAACAATTGAAATGACAACTTCGATAACTCTTCAATAGGTAAGTTATTTTATGTAGGCAGATTAGGTAAAAAGGAATGGCACAGACTTGCATCATAGGTTAAAATATCATAATTTATTGTATTTTAAAATTTCGATAATAATTATTATGTCTTGCCTGTCCTGAGTGTAACAATGGAAATAATTCTTATCACTACTTACTTTTTTTAGGCCTTCAAAATAGAAAAAATGATTTTAATAATCTTGATGACAAACTATTTTTTGGAAAGGTATAGACTATCTGAACATGTGTAAGAAAAATTATATATAAATTATTTATCTAAACCGAATCGTTAAAAGAAAGTAAAAGAAAATGCCAAGTAATAACAAACTGAAAAAATTAAATGATACAATCGCTTATCAATAATTATCACATATCTTAATAACCAATGAGAACGTTGGAATCGAGGTAACCGCTTTGGTAACCCAACCAACGTTTTGTTAACTTAACAAATAGAATTTAACAGTAATGTTATGGTGAAACTTATTTCATTTGACCGGGTGTTAAATTTAAATGAATAGTTAACTAACATTGTGTTTTAAGAGTGTATTTAACAATAGTTGGTGAAACCGGCCTAGTACGTTCCGTGGTGGAAATCATGTAAGTCTGTTTCAGTTTAATATTGTGGTTTTATCTGTTTAATTAATTGAGCACTGAACTTGAACTTATTATACTTTTTCTTGTACTGTCTTCTAAAAAAAAAATTGGTTTTAGTTACCCTCCACTCCCTTGCCAATCTTAACTCTAAGTACTTATTATAAGACACTCTTTGCAATTGCGACTGTTAAACATGGAAAATTGTAATTTTTCATTCAAACAGTTAGTAAACACAATTTCTCAAAAGGTAAAAAATATGACACTTCAAAACTCAATCTCTTGTTTTTTCATAATGACAATTATTATTGTTTTTATCAAACAATAGCTTATGGCGAAACTGATAACTTGTTTTGAAAAAAAAAAGTATCAAAAGAAGAATTTCTGAAGTGTCTTATATCAGTTTTCAAAAATATAGTATAATATGCATAAAGCTATTTTTTTGTTTTTAAATTGTTGCTTTTTAAAAAATAAAAAATGTACACCAAGATTCAAATAAACTACTGATAATGGTATGGTATGGTATAATGGTATAGGGATATTTTTGCTGTTTGTCGGTTGCAGTTTTATTAGATTAATTTTATTTATATTTTTGGTATAATATTATTTGTAGATAACTTTATTCCTTAATAGTTTCTATTAAGTAATACTATATTTTGTACTAATAAATGTATTGGAATAACAATTTCAAAGAATAAAAATATCATGTTTTCAAAGAATGTTATTTGCGAATTATATTTTGTATTCGAATAATTTTATCAAACCATTTTTTTTTTGTATTTCAATTAACAGACTATTCTAATAATTGTTTTAGTGGTTTTTTGTTGTTCAGTTAAATTTTTCCCAGCTGTGGTGTGGTGATAACATCAATCTATAAAAATTAATCAATTTTCTAATGTTTTAGCAGCCAGAAACAAAAATACAGATTACTCATTTAATAACTATTATAAATCAACTAAAAATATACATACATATATTCTAAGACCTATTGCATACAATTTTTCAACTAGCATATTAACTTTTTATGCACAAAATACATCATTTGGGTTATAGTTACTCGAAAATAATGTTCATTTCGCATTCTAGAGGCATATTATTGTGGCCGGTTTGAATACTTACATTGTTTACTACCAGACAATCTGTTGTGGTGTAATTATATACTATCTCGGTCACCAGGAAAGTGCGTTAGGCGATTGCCTTTATCAATGTAAAATGTGTTTGTATACAGTGCGTCGTCCAAACCTAATTACAGTTTATATGCAATTTACATAATACAATATGTTATCTCCTACTTACCGTTTCACGTGAACCAGGACATTTTTATGGTCTGCTTGAAACAAAATATAGTTTATTCTAAGACTTCAGTAATAATTGTTTAATGTGTTCTCAAAATTTCACGAGAAATCTTTTTTTTTTTTAATATTTTATTGGGTAAAAATATAAAATTTTATTAATATTATCATTTTTTGAAAACTATAATAGCACTACTCTCTTATGCCATCTATTTAAGTAAAAATCGTTATAGAAATATTTCATACACATTGCATTTTACAATTCGCCATAACTCATGTTCAATAAATACACAATAACCAAATTTTTAAGTACTTATATTTTTACTAGAAAAATAAAATGAAACAGGGAAACCAAATAGTTTTTATTTTATTCATGTTAAATTACAGTTTTACTTAATAAAAATTATAAATTTCAATTTTAAAACATAATAGTATACACAAACTACATGAAAAATTATTAGCTTACAATTTATAAATCAAAACAAATAAATATTAGATTACAGATAACAGATTACATATAACAATTTACATATGAGTAAATTTCTTTAGGGATTTGGATACTGATAGATACTTATAAATGAAACATGGCCAATAAATATTTTTAAAAAGTTGATTATTCAGTATCTCATTGAAATATTTCATACACATAACCCCAAAAAAAGGGGTCATAATTTAAAATTAATTTAAGCATTACATTTCACTGTTAATAATTATTGTGAAAAAAGAACTTTTAGAGTCTCTAGCATATCTACATAAGATTGACTAGGCCAATATTAATAGTGAAGTATCTAGTTTAAATTAGCAATTACATGACACTGATTGTTTGATTAGTTATAAGTAGGTTTTCTTTGGTTTAACTATTTTTATAAAATTAATACCGAACGTGTTAGCTGTGATTCGAAAAATTTAAAACTTAAACTACCTTTAGAGAACACTAGTGTCTTGCTTTGACCATTTTTGACCTGCGTGAAATTAAATTGATATGGTAAGGGTTATGCAAAATTTATAAAGAAAATTAAATATTATTCCTATTATATTTTTGTTCTTTTTTTTTGTTCTTAAAACAATTAATGGTTCTTTAAAAAAATAGGTTTCACATGAAAAAATGCCAAAAATGCATGATTTAATTTTTAGTTCAATATTTACAATTTTCCCATAAAAAAAATTATTTAAACTTTTTTGGGAGTAATAATTGTAAATGATTTGTTCATTTACAATTATTGAACCTGTTGAATGTTATGCAATATTGTAACTGGGGCAATTTGAAATAAAATGATTCCCGATCATTTTAAGAGTCTCAAGTGTGAATTATACACATATTTACAATAGTCCCATTTCATATGACTGACCATTGAGGTAATTGTAAATAATAATAATATTCTCCCATTTTTAATAACAAAATGCTTGAAGCAAAGTAAATAAAAACTAAATTTAATATTTTAACATGATTTCTTTATTCTTATACCTCTGTGTCAGTCTTTTAATTCAACTAAAAATGTAAATAACATATTAATACTACTCAGCGAAAATATTAAAATACAATATCAAAAACCTATTGGCACGTCTCCGTGAAACATACCGAAACGTATATATATATATATATATATTGGGTGATCCAACGTTAGTAAGGCACTCATTTTCACTGATCAAATTTCCCTAATTTTTTAAGTAGGTACATATTTTACAACAATTTTCAATATTTTGAAAATTTTCATCACCAATCCTTATAAGAAATTTATCATTTTTATTAAGTAAAGCTGTAATATACCACGAACAAAAAAAATACTATTTGGCTTGCCTATTTCGTTGAATTTCTCTAGTTGAAATATAAATACTTAAAAATTAAGTTACTGTGTATTTATTGAACATGAGTTGTGGAAAATTGTAAAATGCAATTTGTATGAAATATTTCTATAACGATTTTTACTAAAAATAGACGGCATGAGAGATTAGTGCTATTATATATTGTTTTAATGTTTGTCGCGCATTTCTACTTTGATTGCAAATTACTTTGATTAAACTATTTATCGAGATGCTAACTTTTGAAGAAAAAATTAAACAGATTATCACATTTTAACATGGACATGAGTTTGAAAGGGTCGTTCGGATTCGAACCTTGCAAACCGTTTCGGATGTATTATGTTCTTGGGTTTTTTTTTTTAATTTTCTCACTGTCGAAAATCGCAGTTTTTCTATTTCATTAGTCGATTTTGTCGGTTGAGAAACGCGACGCGTGCTCAACGACTCGTGAATATTTATTATTTTCACAGTAAAAAAAAAAAAACCCCAATTTAATACACACCGTTCTTTGATTTTAGGTTAGTCGAATGTCGATGTTGTCTTCAACGAATGGATTTTGAAGGGAAAGCGTTGAAAATCGTCGCCGACCGTTTCTAAACCGTATCAATTGAAACGCGTACTATCGCCAAAAAGAAAAAACCATTTCCGCGGTGGTCTTTTTCTTTTAATTCTAGCAATTTTCCTTATACGAAAGAAGAAGCTTTTTCATTTTGGCACAATGCGCGTTTTTTCCTTAATTGATACACACACAATCTGTGTGTCCAAATAGGTAAAATAAGAGTATTAGCTAAAATAGTATAATTAATAGTGAAGTTGTTTAAATTAGCAATTACATGACACTGGTTGTTTGCCACCAGCTATAACATTGTAAGTAGGTTTTCTTTGGTTTAACTATTTTTATAAAATTAATACCCAACGTGTAAGCAGTGATTTGGAAAAAATTAAACCTACAACTACTTTCAGAGAACACTAGTGTCTTGCTTTGACCATTATTGACCTGCGTGAAATGAAATTGATAATTTTCTGCAAAAAACAAATTATTTTACATGTTAGGATAATTGTAAAGATTATGCAATATTCATAAAGAAAATTAAATATTATTCCTGTTATATTTTTGTTCTTAAAATCAATTAACGGTTATTTGAAAAATAAGGTTTCACATGAATAAATGCCAAAAATAAATTTTTAAATATTTAGTTCAATATTTACAATTGCCCCATAAAAAAAATTATTTTAACTTTTTTTGGGAGTAATTGTAAACGAACAAAATTGAACCTATAGAATATTATGCAATGTTGTAACTAGAGCAATATGAAATAAAATGATTCCTGATCATTTTAAGAGTCTCAAGTTTGAATTTTACACATATTTACAAATGTCCCATTTCATATAACTGGCCATTGGGGTAATTGTAAATAATAATAATATTCTCCCATTTTTAATAACAAAATGCTTGGGGCCAATGTAAATAAAACAAAATGTAATATTTTAACATGATTTCCTAATGTCAAGTTAATAGATCTCTACACAATTTTCGTTTTAAGCGTCTCGGAGGATTACCAGGAATAACATAATATGTTGAAAGATCTTTTACTAAGGGATTGGAGTGAGAGGCTAGTGTGGAATCTTTTAGAATATGTAATGGCTTTTTCTTTCACAGTTTTAATTTTCAGGTCAGCGTGGAGGATATAATTTGATACGTATGGGGGGAGGGGGGAGTTTGTTAATTTGCGCAATGTAATATTTTGAAAGGTCTGAATTCGATTTAAATTTGAATGTTTGGCGTTTCCCCCCAAAGTTGGAGGCCATAAGGCCATATGGGTATGATGAGGGTTTTATACATTAGTAGCTTCATAATTAAGTTTGTATGTTTGTTATTAATGATTAAAGTTTTAAGCATACGAAGTCGAAAGGTTTAATTGAAGTCTTCTTGTCAAACAAATAATATTAATAAACTTTTGTTTACATATGATGTATCATAATATTTGTATTAATAGTACATTGGCATATAGTGCAAGTATTAATTAAAATATTATAATATATGAATAATATAGGATAAAAAAAATACTATTTGAGAATTTATCAAGAAACGAATTGACGAGATACGAATTTCAGTAATTTTTGTTAAATACTGTTCTTAATGTTGTGCAAAGATATTGTAAACAGTACAAAGATATTATAAATGGGACAATGGATTTTGTTTTGGCGGCCTTAAACAATTAAAATTAAAAAAATGGAGATAGCGGTTTACTGCACTGAACCCTTCCAATGAACTCTAAAACGGTATTGTTATCACAGAGTTATAATATTACCTAAGTCAGCTATCTCTTTGTACGCGTCCCCTCGATTTTTTAACGTTAGGTACATTTGCATACAGTTATAGTTCATGTTTTTTTTTTATAGTTGAGATACATTTTGATTGCAGTCCCAATACCATTGCCAAACCATGTCGGTTACATGTCTTTTTGCATATCATTATTTTCGTTTAACGCGGTGCATCCTAATTATAACGATGGGGTTATGTCAAATAGAGTAGCTACTTTGACCACAAGAATCCACTTGACGAAGCTAGGCAATAACATAAATATCTATCTTACTATTTGATTTCTTTGTAGTTGGTTTTCAACTGTTTTTGGTAGCTACATCAGATTAGGCGCATAAAGTTACATTGAAAATTCCATAAAATCAACACACATCAAGTTCACATAAAAACATATAAAATACATGTATACAACATTTTAATAATTCCAAATACTTAAATAGTTAAACATAAAGTAAAAAAAAAATTGTAATAATTTTGTATTTTCGGTGGTATTATCTTTTAAAATGTGTAAAAAGATGGTCCAGATAAATAGTATATCTGTTTGTACATTTAAAACATTGTTGAATCTATTAGGTTTTATTTGTTTTATGCATTTTATATAGCTTCTTAAAAATAAATTTAAATACCTATTTCTAAATCTGAGTATTAATTGTGATTGATTAACGCATTCTCTAGTTTATAAAACATGAATAGCAAAATTTGACCTAAATTACCTATAATTGACTCACCCAGATTATGAAACAACGTTTTGTGATACAATTTAAATGAAAATTTCCAAATTCTAATGTTAAAATGTTTCTAAACGAAAAATATATGGCTAATTAACAGCGTTAAGAATATTGGCTTCTTATTTACATTTTTTTTTTTTTTTGTGAAAAATTGCCAAAATGTTTTAATCTTAATGATATACAATATACTTGTAACAAATGAATCATTCGTGTGGGGAGTGTGGTGCCAACCATCTTTACATACAGTCAGATAGATATCAACACAACTGTTATGATTGAGACTGTTTCATTTGTACACGAACAATATTAATTTGTTTGTCTCTCTCCGTAATGTCAGTCACTGTCGTCTGTCAAGCGTGGTTTGCTCCCGGGTTTCTCGTCGACGGTTGTATTTTTTTATCATTTATTTAAGCTACAAAAAAAAAAAACAACAACAACACCGTTCTGGTGCACTGTTTTAATAACAATATTCCACTTTCCCTTCCGAGAATAAATAGCTACACGACTGTTTAAACTATTTGCGGTTGCGCTTGAGTGTGTTCGTATCAACAGACATCAACTCGAAATCAACATTATGGTCATTGTGTAATTTAATAAAAAATTCGTTATGGTTTTACACTGCAATAACTATGACAATAATATGTATATAGGTGCACCGGTATTATCTCTCAAGTCTTGTAATTTATTGTTTTCACGTTAAGACATCAGCTTTTATGTACGTAACCACCTGTTGTTACAATGCAAAATTATTGTAAAATGTACCACAACTTATGAATATAACAATTATAACCCAAAACTGTTGTATTTTTGTTTTACTAATTGGGTCTTCTTTTTTTTTTTCAGGCATTTACTTTCTATGCCGGACACCGGCGATCTTCATTCGGAAGAAGATAACATGTTAGACGGACTCCAACTCCGCGGTCGGTCGTTTGATTTGTCCACCGACCGTTCGAGATCTTCCAGCATCGAAGACAGTTCTTTCTATTTGCCAAACAACAACAACGCGTCCGAAGACGACGACGATAATAATTCAAAAAGTATGTGTCGACCAAACACATTTAATACATTTTTTTTTTTGCTTCGACGAGGAGCTGAGGGGCTATTGGCTTTGCTAAGTCCAAACGGGTTTGACGACGGTATTATACATTGGTAGCTTCGTATTTAAGTTTGTATGTTTGCTATTAACGAGTAAAGTTTAAAGCATACGAAGTCGAAAGGTTTAATTCAAGTATTTTCGCCAAACATTTTTTACAAATAATATTAATAACCTTTTGTTGACTTATGACGTAACATAATATTTGTTTTAGTAGTAGAGCGGCATGTAGTGCAATTTTTAATTAAAAAATTATAATAATAGTATAATATAGGATAAAAAAATACTATTTGAGAATTTATCGAGAAACAAATTGAAGAGATAACAGTTTTTTTTTCCCTTTAGAATAATTTGAGTAAGATGTAATATAATACAATTAACATAGGTAGTATATATGACATCAGTGAGCGTAGATTTATATAGTTTATTATTAGAATCTAAGAGTAAACAAAATTAATTATGAGTAACATATGTAGTCAGATTATAATTGCAATAAAAACTCATTTAGACATTACACGGATAATATTTTATTTGGTATAATTTCTTGCAGTATTCCTTAAATAAAATAAACACCTGATCCTATTGTGTTTATTTTGAAATTAATACATTCTAGTAATTCAGGGCAATCGATTAAGTTGTTTAATAATTTGAATAAGAATTTCAGTAATTTTTGTTAAATACTGTTATTAATGTCGTGCAAAGATATTGTAAACAGTAAAAAGATATTTATAAATGGGACAATGGATTTTGTTTTGGCGACCTTAAATAATTTAAAAAAAAAAAAATGGAGATAGCGGTTTATTGCACCGAACCCTTCCAATGAACTCTAAAACGGCATTGTTATCACAGAGTTATAGTATTACCTAAGTCAGCTATCTCTTTAACGTTAGGTACATTTGCATACAGTTAAAGTTCATGTTTTTTTTTATAGTTGAGATACATTTTGATTGCAGTCCCAATACCATTGCCAAACCATGTCGTTTACATGTCTTTTTGCATATCATTATTTTCGTTTAACGCGGTGCATCCTAATAATTATTACAATGGGGTTATGTGGAATAGAGTAGCTACTTTGACCACAAGAACTCACTTGACGAGGCTAGGCAATAACTTAAATGTCTATCTAACTATCTGATTTCTTTGTACTTGGTTTTCAACTGTTCTCGGAGAGTTTATTGCACCGAACCCTCTTGTTGACCATGATTGATTGTTAATGATAATTTTGCAGGCGATTCAGAAAGCTCAGACGAAAAGTCTTCGAGGAGGGCCACGTCGGGCAAGCGCAAACGTCAGAGCAGTCTCGATGACAACGACGAAGCATCGACGTCTCCAAAGACCAGAAGATGCCGGAGAAGTATTCGTCAAAGACGGTCAATGGACTCGCTGACGGCCAAAGACCGGAATTTAAGAAGACTCGAAAGCAACGAACGCGAACGATTGCGCATGCATTCCCTAAACGATGCATTCGAGGTGAAATTTTACAATTCCAAAATAATTTCCACGTTACATTTCCACGATACACCCAGTATAATGCTAGGTTAGGTGCGATGATAAACACACATCATACACAGGTTAGGTCTGGCGGTTTTATAGCACATGTAAATTATACAAGTGGAATTATTAAAGCAATTCCGTTGGAATGACATGATGCAAAATCAGATTCCACGCGTACAACTGAAGGAAATAGGTAACCTTTAAGGTTAGGTTAGGTTTCCTTAGGAAAGACACTTATCGCTTTCTACATTATACCCATTAGAGAAGGTATTGATTTTACACTAAAATCAAAAAGGTCACCCCAGTTGTACCTTAAATTTAAGGGGCGACTGTTTTAAAAATTATTAAAATTAGTTCCACATTTTGATTCCACCTTTCTGAAAGTAATTTTGGGACTTGAAAATTAGTAAATAACATACACAGTTTTCTCGAAAATGTGTAGTCAACATTTTGTTTTTATTAACTAAAAGCCAAATAAGTGTGAACATTTTCACATTGACCTTATTAAATGTATAACTTGCTACGAGTCAATAAATTAACAGGTAGCAGACACATATTTTTATTATGTTGTTTATTTGTCTGTTATTACAGACAGACGATGAACCCAAAAGTATAGTAATATACCAGATCTAATATTGAAATCACATTTTTAACAGTTTTATTAAATTTACCATGATCTTCATCGGTATTTAACATTTCTACCACCTATAGATATGCATGGAAGAGTTTTTTTTTTTTTTTAAACTAATTTTAGAAAACAATTTGATACAAAATACAGAAGGCGTTGTACTGACGGCGGTCGAGTCACTTATACACCTTCATGGGTGTTTCTATGATTGCCTAAACTGTGCCCCTGTCGTGTTTCCATCATTTTCGCGCTTATCCGTCATGATGGTGCTCGAACATGGTTAATGTTCGAGAAAACTGAGTGTGAAATTTACTAATTTTCAAGTCCCAAAACAATTTTCAAAAAATCGGTATCAAAATGTGGAACTTATTTTAATAATTTTGAAAACAGTATACAATTTACACTGTGTCATAAAGTAAGTAAAAACTTGATGAATACTCGAGGTTTGATACTATAGATGAGAGAGGGAGGCAGGTAAGAAGAACATAATTTAACTTGAGAAAAACTAAACTATGAACAAAAAAGATGTATATGTCTATCATAATATTGATTAATGTAAACCTGTCAACCTCACACACATCTACATAACAGACCTTTTGAATTCATTTTCATGTTAATTTCTATCAGTTCTGGTTTATTTTTTTTATAAGTAAATTGCCATTTTGGTGGTGAAAAATGCATTCACTGTGACAACACTGTGAGGCTTTAACTGGTTCAATTTCAATTGTGTAAAAATATAAGAATTTTTTGGCACCCTTAATGGGGTATTTTGAAAATAATCAATTAAATGTGCTTGCAGAACGATTGATTTTGAAGGGATAATTCTCTAAAACCGTTAAGGATGTCTCGTTACACGGTATACAAATAAAGTTAATTAAGCCAAACAATGTTTTTTTTTTGTTTTTCTAGAAATTGCGAGAAGTCGTACCACACGTGAAAATGGGACGAAAACTGTCCAAGCTAGAAACGTTGACGTTGGCGAAAAACTACATAATGGCGTTGACCAATGTGATATGTGAAATGAGAGGAGAACAAAAACCATTCACGTGAGATTGATATCATTACATATTTAAAAAAAAATTACTTATTTACGCAATGTCAGGTTAGGTTTAGGTTAGGTTAGATGGGAAAAATACATTTTAAATCGCCGACAAAGACGATAGAAGAAGCTACTATCCAAAAAAATAAACTAAAAAGAATGCCCGAGAAGAGTTTTTATCACTAGTCTAATAATTACAATTTAAGCTTTGAATTAAGATTCTTATACCTAACTCCTTAATAAATAATGGCATCACTTACCATTCTTAAACGCACACTAGTAGACTTGAATGAAGTGAACACGTGAAACTATTTGGACGGCTTATTAATATTGTTCAACTCTTCAGCTCTACTCGATTAAATACAACTATAATAATTAACTAACTCTAAATATAATCTAACATAATCTATTTGTGTTGAATACTTGAAATACACACAAGTGTAATTTCTGTGGGCATCAAAAATATGATTAAGGCGTTGAAGGCGTTCTGTTTTTTTTTTTAACAAATTATAAACATTTTTATTCGAACAAACGGTTGTTAGGAAAACCTATCATTGTATCAATCGGACAGTAATTTATTTAAATAAACAATTACTCAAGTAGCGGCCAACTCTGGTTAAAACTGAAATGTATCCTCTCCCAAAACATTCATTTCTTTGACCACATGTCCACTTGGTGAAATCTCATTGAAAAACAATTGAATATATTAAGTATATTGCATTTTAGCTGTTAATAGAATTTAAGGGGATCTGTTTTTTTTTTTTTTAAGTTTAGACCGAAAAGCCTGACAAATCGTTGACTACTTAAGACGGTCTGATTTTAAATCTGTAAAAATACAGTTCTTACTTTGGCTACTTAACTTAGATCACGATGGAAAAGGGTTTATTATTTTTTATGTAACAAAATTGCGTTTTAATGTTGAAAATTTTCAAATTTAATTAACTTATGAAAAAAAAAGAAATTTGTTGATTGATTTTTTTCAAATAACTCAGAAAAAGGTGCCCAAAAATTCTTATATTTTTACACAATTGAAATTGGACCAGTAAAAACCCTCACAGTTTTGTCTCAGTGAATGCAATTTTCACCACCAAAATGACATTTATTCATAGGAAAAATAAACAATAAAAATAATAAACTAAAACTGGTGCAAATTACCACGAAAATAAATCAACAAGGTCGAAATAACTGAATAAAACCACTTTTTATTTAAATTTTAACCATTCAAAGCTCCTTGCAAACCGCCCACCTCCTGTACCCTTGAAAAAGTTGTGTAGATTTCTACTAAGGCATCTAACTAACAGGTTTAATACATTTTTTATTTTAGTTTTGACGATCCCGACCAACCGGAAAACGAATACGATTCCAGCAACGACGGCGGATTCGAGTCCGGCAACAGCAGTAAAGTTCCTAACAACTTGGAACAAGAGTTACTGTCTTCAGACTAACTTGGTAGAACGTCTAAGCGACATACACCACCATTTCCACCCTTCCTATATTGTATTTTTATTAGTATTTTTTTTGTATAAATACCACAACCTATTATTATTATTAATTTAATTATCAATGTGTTATTAGTTATGTTAAGTCCTCATGATTTTTGTTTTTGGAGATTACCACAAAACATATATATACATTGCACGTTATTACAGCAATAATATTATATTATTTTATTCGAATATTATTATAATGTTAATTCTCGCACTGGCCTATTAGAGTGAATTTAAAGTAAATATTGACTCGAATCGCACGACAGGCAATAACTGCGTGTTTGTGTGTCGAAGTGGTTGCCTACCATTTGTAAATTAAGGCGACTCTTGATCTCAAGTCACTCCACACATACACTCACCTTCTTATTTAACGTTATCATTATCTGCTAAGGTCCATGTTCAGCTGCATTTTCCTATCCACAATTGAAAATTCTGTGAATTTATCAAACGTTCCAACAGTTACAAAGTATAAAAATTGAACTTTATAATTATTTTATTTGTATTTTATTCATTACCGGAAACACTTGAACGCTTTTTTTGTTAAATATGATTGTTTTTTTTTTTATAAATAACTATTCCTTATTTGACGAAAAATACAAAATTGTCTTTCGTAACGCGTGAGATACATATTATCAAATTATAAAGTTTAATTGTTCGAAACCGCGTGGTTGCTTAGTAACTGTAAATTAAACGTTAATTTTTTTTTTTTACATAAAATGAATAAATTACATTTACATCGTTTTGCTGCTATTTTTTTGTGTGTGTAAAATAATAATAAAATGTAGAAATTTAAAAGATAGCAAACGACCATACTGTTCAATGTAATAATCGAAAATATTTTACTTTAACGTTAACCTAACCTAACCTAAGCTAACTAACCTAACCTAACCTTACCTAAAGTTAAAACGTGTAAGGCTAAACATGAGCAACAACATAATATATAATATCCAAGTGTTATAATATAGTAAATTGTACAGTTAGGGTTGGTCAAAATTCAACTAAACTACAAACAACAACTAAACCGAATCGTAAAACATGATGTATTTTTGTTTATCGATTAGTTTTCAAACGACGTTATTCAAAAAGTATTTTTAGTAGAAGTGGAATCGCCTTTTATTTGAATAATCGATTCACCGAATAACAATAAAAATGGTTATCCGTTTTCCCTAAAATGGGCGAAAACTTATCATCAATTTGTCAACTTAAGTGTTAAGACTGAAAGAATTTTTATATCAACCCTTTTTTTTATAAATAAAAGCCAAAAGAAAAACTATAAACACAATTACAGAATGCACAATAAATTGTATAACTTTTAATAATGTCACCTGTTGATTTTTATGGGTTTTTCGAGTATACAGGGTGTTTAGATCACCGTATTACAATTTATTTTTCAGAAATAATAGTAATTATAATATTATCGAAACAAAGGGCCTAATTACACATTTTTTTTTCAGGAGACTTCTCTTTAGGCTAAATAAAAAAATACATATTTTATAAATTAAATCAACCCATCAAATGGTATTAAATTAGACAAAACTATAAACATTTCGTTTAAAAAAACAATGTACCTGGACAATTAGTTTTTTCTCCAGAAAAAAAAACAAAATTTGAAATCGGCCACTTGTTATATAATAAGCGTCTCGATTTTCATAAAGTAGTTTTAATTTTTTTTTTTAATCGTTATTAATATTTTAATACATTCTTATGGTCAAATTAAACTGCCTAAAACGTATAAGTTTATCAAAAATCAATTACCAAATTATTGTTGTCTGAGAATATTGTACACAAACAAAAAATAACCTGTTGATCTGTATGCAGTGTTGCCTATGCGTTACCCCTGAAAACTATTGGGTAATTAGCCTCGAGTGGTTACCTGAGCTAAGTCACGTATGCTACATACCAAAACTGGACGTCTATTAGTATTTTTCCATATCGGCGATTGTTCAAAAAAAAAAAAAAATTAATAATACATAATTACCGAAGGTCGATGGTTTGTCATTTTATACATAAACAGTTACTATTAATAGCTTTCTCCGGTGTAGGAATGTATACCGTGTTCGATCCTGAAACAAATTCAGCATAGTCTCAAATGTCTTAAGGGTTTGCCACAGGTGAAATTGATAAAAAATATAATATAAATTATATTATGATAAAAACTTTGGGAAATAAAAGTCAAGAGTATCCATAGACCACGCTTAATGCAGATACATCAATACACGGATATGTCCTGATATGTGCATGAAGTGTGGATACTTTTAACCGAGTTTTCTTGTCGTTATATCCTTATATATCCTGCAACTTGATGTATCTGCATGAAGTGACCAAAAAAAAAAGCTTACTCTAAGTTAAAAAAAAATCATTGAAAAAATGACTTAAGAAAGTAACAATATAAATATATCTATATAAATGACTATAAATATTTAGTAATTTTCTAACACAACATAAACAAATAAGTTTTTCAAAAATTAAAACTACAAAATTGCAATAATTTATATAGTAATGCCTTATTCTTAATGAAACTGTACACAAAAATAATTATCTCCAAAAAACAAGACAGTCATGGTTTTAAATTAAAATTTTCCTCGAATATCGATCAAGAATATTCCGTTTGCTATTAATCGTATACTATATTATCTCAAGCATATTGTATTTGTAGAAGGGTGAATGAACTATTGGAATGACTTAAGGAAACAAAGGTATGCATGATGAATTGTGTTTTTATGTCGTTTAGCACTTGTCTTGATCATCATCTGTTTTGGTGTATATTTTTTCAGTCCAAAATATAAAACTACAATCGAATTGTAATATTCATATTATCTTATTTTGTCTTCATTGAATCTTATATGGTTTGTATTAACTGATTTTTTGCCCGATAATAGACTTACTCGAACTTATAGTTTTAAACATTTGTTGTCGTCTTCAAACTAAAAGTAAAGTGCGCACAACCATTTTTTCATATCAAAAAACTATTTTGTTCAAAAGTTGTACAGCTATTTCTTTCCTTGTCTGTTTTACTGTTGTATATGAGTTATTACAACTGAAAGTGATCAAATCAAAGACACAAGTACCATGTGGATAATAATATGTCCGAACCAGTACCAATGTCAAACCAAGCACAGCGAGAAAGTATTGAACACAAGTGAGTAGTAGTAAGATATATATATAAATTGGTTTGGCATTTTTAAAAGGGAAGGGGTGATTTGATTGGGCAACTTATGGTCAAACAGAGTATCTGTTAGGCCTAAGATTATTTACTACACTGTGTGGAGAACGCTGCCGGTGTGGTGAGCTATGGGGCCGACGGTTATTAATAACGATATTATAATAATAATTATAATTATTAAGAAGTCAAGGATCCGAGTGAGACGACAACCTTCGCGGGCAAAAGAAGGCCACCGCGGATTCAAGAGTTTGACAATGACATTGCCCGAACACACACACAAGGGCCATTAACTGCGTACACAACATTTTTTTTTTTTTTTACCAAGTACCAAGCACTACTGTTCACTAATTGTACTGGCAAATATAGAAAACCCATATCAATATTTAAATATGTTTAACGTTAACAGCATCTCAACAATATCCGCACAACCGTTGACATACACAGTCTCGTTAACTCCTCCCCTCTTTGGGGGCAAGCCAATACAACTGTTGTGTGTATTTTGTTTACCGTCCATCACAACAGCAGACTACCGGTTTGGCACCAGTAAAAACCGGTCACGATTGAGAGAAAAAAAAAATAAATAAAAAATCATCAGACCTATGCAAAATTATTAGGCACATAAATATCATGTTTGTCGGCCTCCGGGCTCAGCATTATCGCTGCTCGGTTAGCCCCGGTGAGAAAAATCCGTTGACGTCAATACCGCACGTGTGTGTGTGTGTGTGTACAATAATATTATAATAATACTACATTATTGCATTGCGGATATGGTAAAAAATAAAATTAAAAAAAAAACAACGGTGACTTCTCTGTCTCGAGTGGATGAAGACGGATGATGACGTAGGGAAACGCATTTCACGCCGCCGGTATACATCATCAGTACACGGAATTCAGCAAACCCAATATAATGTACATAATTTTATCATCATCTTCTTCTTCTTCTTGGGCGGTTGCCTCGACGTAAGACGATCGACGTCAATCCACCCACCGTTGAAGATAAATAGATAAAAACAGATCTATCACAACAACACGGATATCGCTGAAACGCCTAATTGGCCTAATGGTGTTCAAAAAAAAAAAAATCAAACGTTTCAAAATGTTTATAATATGTCTTTACTCTTGTGCTGTACAGTTAAATTACATTTTTAAAACTTAGCTCCTCCTCGATCATGGTTATTTAATATGTATACCATTTTGCCCATAGGTCATTTCCATTTTTATGGAAATTGCTTTTTTTTTTGTTTATTTATTTAATGTAAACGCCCAAGAGGGCTCGAGTACCTACACTTAGGTAGTACAATATTATTTTACAATTAATTACATTAACTATTAACATAATGAATGATAAAATACAAGATAGTAGTTTGTAAACAAGAACAAGTAAATTGTAGAATAAAATTGAATGAACTTAAACTTTATATGATCGCTCTATTATTTATATTTCTATATTATCAACAGCTACCAAAACTTAATTATTTGAAATTATATTATCATTTGTGTGTGTGTCTTTATGATGAAAATACTTTGAAACTTAATATATTCAAAATATAAGAAATATGCTAATTGTAACTATTGCTAATGTAACTATTGGCAAGTATAAAAAGGTAAAAATACCAAGTATAAAATTTAAATAATTAATATAAAATTGCATTAATATTTTTCCTACATGTTTTCCTTTATAAACATTTGAAATTTTACTAGCTATTACCTAATTATACTTAATCGTAGCTGATAATAAAGTGGCAATTTATTATTTTTTTATATTGTATTAATATTATGCATAAGGCCTACCAATGTTGTTTACCTACAAATATTGTCACCTTCCAATAGTTTTGGAAAACAAAATTAAAACCTTTTTACCAAATGAAACTACACTGATGGCTATATTTCTGATAACCAAAATGCTTTTTCCCCTCATTATTATCAATGTAAATTAATTGTTTTTGAAAATTGTCAAAAACCAGTTTAACCTAAAGTATAAGGTCTTTTGAGTTAATTCAAATAGTTTCCAGATGTTACTGTTTGCAACGATTTGAGGAATTATAATTGAAAACTGTCTGAAAATCATAATTTCTCGAAAATTTACTATTTTTTTTTTTAATATTTCTTATCCTTATTATGGGCGAGGATGCACTTGTCAACAAAACTTGCAGAAGTTGGCCTCTGCTCATTAAAATTTTAAATAAAACACACCAAAAGTATTTCAGTTTAAAATTATGGAATAGTTTAACGTTATTTTTATAAACGGCCAAAAAAAAATCATCAACATTTTCTATTGAAAAATAAAATTAGGAATAACAGTTATTGTACCTTATATTTTTAGTATAT